TGTACAAAAGACATTCATGAATAACTCGAAATCACATTCGACCGAGAGTGATTACGAGAAAACGAAGGTTAAGAACTACTTAAAAGAATCGTAATACCGACAATGAACACTTTACTTTTCAGTGTCTCAATCATAAAAACTCAAGAGTTACCTCATTTCAATGTCTTTTATCCATAAATCAATCAACACGGGTTCCTTCTAACGCATTTTGTCTTCACTCACATGCTTTCTAGAAAAATTCTAAATAAGCTATCGAACATTGTAACAACCCAAATTACCCAAACCCACCGGTAGCAAATATTGTCCGTTTTGGCCCATTACGTATCATCGTCAATCTCACGGTCTTAAAACGTATCTGCTAGGGAGATGTTTTCACACTCTTATAAGGAATGTTTCGTTCCCCTCTCCAACCAATGTAAGATCTCACAAACGTATAGTTATTCCAAGCTAAGGTAATATGACTATGTCGAACGAGGAAGAATGTCGAGGCCATTAAGTACCAAATTCAAAATTCAAATTCTTACCGTAGAGTCCGAGCGTTACATTCTCCTCTAAAATATCTATCACATGTAATTTAGAATTTGAAATTATAAAAACCTAAATAAAATAAGAATATATTCGCAAAATTAAAGAAATGGTAGATCCAATCTCAAATCAAAATAAAATAAATCATATTTTTAAAATCTAGTTAAAAAAATCCATTACAAATTAAAAAAAAAAAAAAAAAAAATCAAATAGTTATCCATCTCTTTAACTTCTTTTTTCTCCTAAATTCATCGCGGTTAATCAATGACTTTGATTTACGACAACTTTGGTGAAGGAAATGACAGTCCTCGAAGTCGATTTGGAGCTTTTAGCTAAGGTTGTAGGGTTTCAAGTTCGAGAACTTCTTTGCCTAACTTCTTCTTACCTTTCTCGAGCCGAAGAAAAATGGAAATGAAGAAGGAGAGTAGCTAGATAGGTATGGAACGTTACAAGTGGTATTAGAGCAAATCTATCTATATAAGATATGATTTAAGAAAGAATCAGGGCGGAAGGTAATGGACATATGATATTCGAGTAAAGAAGGGATACATAAATAAACCAAAATTACACCTAACGGAGAGTTTATTACATAATGACTTAGTGTTTATCCAACTCAAGTTTATGTGCCAGATCATTGATAATTCAATTATATAATAGATATTTTAATTCGTTCTTTATAAATGATTTCGTAGGTAAAGAGAAACTCGAGAAAGAAGAAGACGGATTAGGAATAGGCGTACGGACCTGTTTTTTACATATCTCTCGTTATTTGGGATCCTATTCATCTCTTGAGCTTCTATTGAATCGAGAAATAGGTTTGATTGTCCATTTTTTTTAATATAATAGTAAGACATCTTCCAGATAATTCAAATCGAAGCAATTGGATGTCCGACTCGAACCTATATGACATGACCGAGCAATAGAAATACTCTAACACTCCACCGTTGTCATATATTCCATACATCACACTAGATAGATAGCATATTCATGGTATATGATTCACTTTCAAGATGTCTTGGTGGTGAAATGGTAGACACGCGATACTCAAAATCTCGTTCATAATTTAAAAAGGGAATATGATGGAGAAGTTGTGGAGAGGAAGGAAGGAAGCAATAATAGAGATTGAATAGTTCATGCAAAAGAGAGGATCAAATCCATTCTATTTGTGATGGAATGTTCAATTATTATTTTATTTTCATTTTGGTCTTACCAAGATTTTATTCCCTCATTCTTTTTCTTTTTTCTTTATTATTTTTTTTAAATATCCTTTTTTGATTCATGGTTTGGCTCGTGAATGGATCGAAAAAACATTTGAATGAGAGTAATCTTAAAGATATGATACTTAAGAGTGTTCGTAGGTTGGGTTGAGTTGGGTCAGGTTGAGATATTTTGTTGTGAGATACCCTAACCGTTGGAGAGTAGAACGAAACATTGTCTATAAGGGTGCATTTTAAAACGGTGAGACTGATGACGATACGTAACGGGTCAGCGGTGGGCTTGAGCTGTTACAAATGGTATAAGAGTCAGACACTAGACATTGTGCCCGCGAGAATGCTGGCCCCTAAGGGGGTGGATTGTGGATTGTGAGGACATTGGGCCTGTAAGGGGGTGGACGTCGGTTGGACTTCTCCGCTAACCAATGAATAAGATTTATTTTTCATTCCATATTTTTATCCTCTGATGGTTCCGATATTTTACAACATCCCATGCACGATATTTATTTGTTTTTAACTTCTTCTATGAGTGAGAATTATCCCCCTAACTAACACATATCCCATTTTTGCACAGAAGGGTTATGAAAATCCACGAGAAGCAACCAACCGTATTGTCTGCGCCAACTGCCATTTAGCTAATAAGCCCGTGGATATCGAGGTTCCACAAGCGGTACTTCCTGATACTGTATTTGAAGCAGTTGTTCGAATTCCTTATGATATGCAACTGAAACAAGTTCTTGCGAATGAGAAAAGGGGCGATTTGAATGTGGGAGTTGTTCTTATTTTACCCGAGTTATTTTAAGATGTTTTGTTATCACTCATATGCTTCTTAGAAAGACTCATAGAAGGTCGATCACCCGACATAGAATTGTTCTAAGTCAAGCATGCTTAACTTTAAACTTTTTATAATTGAGCTACCGAAAAGAAAAGAGTACTTTAGTATAGATAGTGTCTCTCAATTTTTAAAAATATTTCTTAATTATCGTATATACATTTCCTTTACTCGAACATCCGAGTCATAAATTTGTTAAATTAAGGTGAAATTAGGTGAGCTGTCGTTACTTTGTTGTGTTTCACATTCCTTTGAAATGTCAAGGGGACAGACAAGACACACGAGGGATTCATGTCGGAATGTCGTGTTCCATAAAAAAAAGTATTAAAGAGAATTATAGAAAAAGGACAAAACCGTAAAACAACTAAAACAGATAAGGAAAATAGTAATTGTAATTAATTTATGTTATGATTTATAAAATAATTCCATCATACATTAGTTTATTTAGTTGCAAGACTTTTTGGTTCACCTAATTTATTTTAATTAATTTTTCTTCGGTTGCGGCTATCTTTACGTGGCTTGAGACCTATCCTTTCGTAACATAACATTTCATAGCCTTGAACTCTACTTTTAAGTCCGGGCTAAAATTGTATGTGTAGTATTTCTTTATACGCGACCCATGTATGCACACATGGACCCACTAAACGGGCGTTTACATATCCCCTAGACCTGCCTTTTAACTTCCGCAAACTCACACAGCCGGAACCATGGAGGGAAAGAAGCTCGCATAGTATTATGGTGTGCACAATATTGAATCATAATGTCATGACGAACATTAATGTCGTAAGGTACGTGTTTGTACTAATCATAATGAAAAAGTATCTCGAAGCATATGACACATAAAGAATGCATGAGGTCCACGTAACTTCAAAACATATAAAATTCAGATCATACATTCATTCTTTCGTAAACATTTTTCATGAATACATTCTTGGCGTATCAACATTTCAGAGTCTAAAAAAGAATCATGCTGACACGGTGTGCGTGACATATCACAGCATAACATAAGTTATAATACATCATCACGTAGTCATGGCATAACATAAGTCATAACATTACATAACATAACTCATGTCAATACAGTCATAAAATACGAAACATGAATGGACCACGATTCATCCAACCATGTCAATAGTAGAGTCACATACGTGGTTGGCATAGACTAGAGTTACTAATTATTTACTAACCCGAATCTACACAGATGCAACAAAAATTGATGAACTTTGACGAAGAAGAAATTTAAGATTTCGACTTAATGAGATAGTTTTCTTCCTATGACGATCTTCCTTTCATACTTTCATGGTGATGAAACTGTAACGTCGTAATATCGAGGGAACAAATAGGGAGACACGAAAACAACCGGGTGATAGAATTTGTTTGAGGCAATTCTACTATCCGGGAGAAAAGTTTGGAAACTCATGTTTTCGACGAGCATCAAAAATTGGTTAGATGTCTCACGTATAGACAATAAATAAAGAACTAAAAATTAAATGGTTATTAAACTGGTCGAGTCATCAACGAAAGCAACTTTCCAAATTGGACAAAAGAGTCCAGATCTAATTCGAGTTTTCATATGTTTATGGAAATCGGTCTTAGGTCTCGGGTCTTTTCATCTGTCTATAGCTATTTTCTTGTTCATCCTGACTTTGCTCCTTTGCTAGCTGCTCTTCGATCAACTAAGGTTTGGGTCTCAAAGGTCATTTTTCTAATCCAAAAGGTCACTTTCATGGCTTTAGTGGGTTAATCAGTAGGACCTTTCAAAAGTTTCGTTTTTCAGGCTTGATTTTGAGGCGTAATTTTCCACTCGATTTTGCACTATATATCTCCCCCCGCGACTAGGCTACTACGTTTTCTTGGTACTTGTTGCTCATCCACTACGTTTTTGTTTTTAGTTTTTCCCCCACCCGATCGAGGAGTGTTGTGTACTAATGAACTAGCTTACTATACCTGCCAAGGACGAAGAAAAAATGAACGACAATGAGGTCAAACACGACACTAACAACTACAACCAAAACACAATAGCTACTACCAAAAGTGTACCAAGTTAGACACGGGAAAATCTAATGATTTTTTCGAACTTCCGACTTTATAAACTTGAACGACTTGCTCGTTTAGCTTATCCTTGCTTTAAATATATAGTTCGAGCAAGCAAATGAGTATCTCGGTAACCAAAAAGATTAGACCTTTTCAACAAAGTAATAATTGGGAAATCTCTCAATTTCTTAAACCATCCAAAGTCAACTCCATCACACAAAAACTCCCTATAAATATATATATCCCTCACATCCAAACAAACACAGCCCTATCTCCTTCATAAATGGCTCATCTCACAGCCCCCATTGCAGAGGGAGATGATCAATGGAGCTCTCTCAATGGAGCCTTCACAGCCGATGAAGAAGAAGCGATGTTCGTGGCTCAGCTCTTCGCACCGCCCGACCCTTTCATGGCTAACCTTCATGATCTTCATCAACCTCCTTGTGAACCAGCTTCTTGTTCAAGCTTTTATAGGGTTTCACAAGAGAGTAGTGAGTTCAGTGGTGGAAGTTATTGCAGCCAATTGTTGTTCTCTGGTTCTGAAAATAATGATAATGATAATTATTATTATTGCAATCCAATGGATAATCATGATTTTAGCTTGGGAGAGCTTGGGAACAATAACAATGGCGGATTCCAGCTTGAAGATCATGAGGACTCCATGAATATAGAAGCTGTTCTGGGAGAAGAGGGCGGTAACCCACGTGATATCAATTGCAAGAAAAGATCAAGGGGATCTGGGGATGTAAGTATTTTGTATTTGCCTAATTATTGATTCATGTTATTTGACGTGTAATTTGATGAAATCGAAAGTTTATGAGCCCACCGTTAGGTTTTTAAAACGTGTATCTAGGGATAGGTTTCCACACCCTTATAAAAAATGTTTCGTTCTTCTCTTTAATCAATGTGAGATCTCACAATCTACTCTTTTTGAGGCTCAACATCCTCGTTGGCACTCGTTTCCTTCTTCAATCGATGTGGGACCCCCCAATCCACCCCCTTTAGGGCCCACGTCCTAGTTGGTACACCCCCTCGTGTCCACACCTTTCAGGACTCAGCCTCCGCGCTGGCACATCGCTTGGTGTCTAGCTCTGATACCATTTGTAATAGCTCAAACTACTATTAGCCGATATTATCTTTTTTGGCTTTCTTTTTTGGGCTTCCCCTCAAGGGGTTTAAAACGTGTCCGTTAGTGAGAGGTTTCCACACCCTTATAAAGAATGCTTCGTTCTCCTCTCCAACCGATGTGGGATCTCACAATTCACCCCTTTCAGGGCTCAGCGTTCTCGCTGGCACTTGTTCCCTTCTCCAATTAATGTGAGACCCTCAATCCACCCCTTTCGAGGTCCAGCGTTCTTACTGGCACACCACCTCGTGTTCACTCCCCTTCAAGGCTCAGCCTCATCTTTCGTTCTCCTCTCCAACCGATATGAGATCTCACAATCCACCCCCCTTCAGGGCCCAACATCCTCGCTAGCACTCGTTCCCTTCTCCAATCAATGTGGGACCCCCAATTCACCCCCAAGGCCCAACGTCCTTGCTGACACACCACCTCGTGTCCACCCCTTTTCAGGGCTCAGCCTCCTTTCTGACACATTGCCCGGTGTCTAGCTCTGATACTATTTGTAACTGCTCAAGTCCACCACTAGCATATATTGTCCTCTTTGGGCTTTCTTTTTCAAGTTTCCCCTCAATGTGTTTAAAATGCGTCTGTTAGGAACAGATTTCCACACCTTTATAAAAAATGTTTCGTTCTCCTCACCAATCAAGGTAGGATCTCACAAATTCTGTCCCGTTTTTTTAGTGAGTCCAAGTATATATATTCTTTTATAATAGTCTAGGAGGTCTTGAATTCAGATTTGTTGTAGTTTTTGGCATCATGGCTGATTCATTACTCTACTTGAACTTTAGTTACAGAAGAGGAGGAATGAGAAGTCAAAGAAAACTCAGAAGCTTATCACTGAAGAAGATGGCAATAATGCTGCCCATAACAGGCAAAGCACAAGCAGCTATTGCTCGGAAGACGAATCCAATGCCTCGCTCGAGCTGAACGGAGGAGTTAATAACTCGGGACCGAGTCCGAACGGGCCGACCAAATCCCGAGCCAGCAGAGGTTCAGCTACTGATCCACAAAGCCTCTATGCAAGGGTAAGACAATGGGAAAAACCTTAAAAAATAAAAACTTTATTGGAAATGAAAAGTAAATTCATCTGTAATATTGTTTTATTACAGAGAAGAAGAGAAAGAATCAATGAGAGGTTGAAAATCTTACAGACTCTTGTCCCAAATGGAACAAAGGTAAGACATAATATGAAAATTACCTTAAAAAATACAAAGAAAAACCTTGATGTTTTGTGAGATCCCATGTCGGTTAGGGAAAAGAAGGAAACATTATTTATAAAAGTGTGAAAACTTTTCCCTAGCAGACGCGTTTTAAAAACCTTAAGGCGAAACCGGAAAGGAAAAGCCCAAAAAGGACAATATTTGCTAACGGTAGGCTTGAGCTGTTACAAATAGTATTAGACCCAAACACGGGGCGATGTGGTAGCGAGGAGGTTGAGCCTCGAAGAGGGTGGATTGAGGGTCCCACATTGATTAGAGAAGGAAACAAGTGCTAGCAAGAACGCTGAGGCCCCGAAGGGGGGTGGATTGTGAGATTTCACATCGATTGGGGAGGAGAACGAAACATTCTTTATAAGTGTGTGGAAACCTCTTCCTAGCAGACGCGTTTTAAAAACCTTGGAGGGAAGGTCGAAAGGGAAAGCCCAAAGAAAACAATATATGCTAACGATGGGTTTCGGTTGTTGGTAGCAAGAAGGCTGAGCCCCAAAGGGGTTGGATTGGGGGTACCACATCATTGGAAAAGGGAACAAGTGTCAGTGAGAACGATGAGCCCCGAAAGGGGGTAGGTTGTGAGATCTCACATAGGTTGGGGAGGAGAACAAAACATTTTTTTTTATAAAGGTGTGGAAACTGCTTCCAAGCCGATGCGTTTTAAAAACTTGAAGAAAAAGTACAAAAAAAACAATATCTAGTTTCATGTTGGAAAAACATGTTTTGAATTATATTCTTGTCTGTTATGGGATATGTAGGTTGATATCAGCACAATGCTTGAGGAAGCTGTTCAATATGTGAAGTTTCTACAGCTTCAAATCAAGGTCATTTACAAACAAAACAAAATCAAGAAAGTTTTGATTTTTTTGGTTCTTTATTGACATCTTCATTATAAATGATTATTGCAGCTATTAAGCTCGGATGATTTATGGATGTATGCTCCGATCGCTTACAACGGAATGGATATCGGGCTTAATCCGACCCCGAACACACCGAAAGTGTTATGATCAAACAAAGAAGATGGGAAAGTGTTCATCTTTGTGGGAATTAATGTGTTTTACCTATAATAATAAGACTTTTTGATAGATTCTTTTCATTAAGTTTGTCATGAACAATGGATCAATGAGTTCGATAGAGGAAATTCGATTCGACTCGAGAACTTTGAGATTAAACTGTACATAAAAGAAAGTGATGGTGATGTTGTTCATTCTTTGTATGATGATCTCCATGAACAAGTTGATCGGTTCTTAATTTTGAGTTCATTTTTTCTACAACTTTTTTTATAACTACAAGTTCATATTATGTTCCATCGAGCTCGAGAAAGGAAAATTTTGGGGAATCCAATAATAAAATCCGTTCAACCAAATCAACCATAAAAATTTATGGCTACACTAATCCACGGCAAGAAAAAATTTGCTATGAATAATGATTAAATAACTACAAAATCTCACGCTACTTTTTCTCTTTTAAATAGCTCAAAATCTATGTATAAATGAACCGAGACAATGTGGAGACGTCGTCTATGTAACAAGTCGTTAGGGTTAAGTACACTCGTAGCATTTTTTTTTTTTTTTTTTTTTTGTTTGGGTAGAACTTGGGTAAATTTTGGTAGTGAGGTGTAACAACCCAAGTCCACCACTAGCAGATATTGTCAGCTTTGACACGTTATGTATCGTTGTCAACCTCACAATTTTTAAAACGAGTCTATTAGGGAGAAGTTTTCACACAGTTATAAGAAATGTTTCACTCCCCTTTACAACCGATGTGAAATCTCATAGAAGGGGACAAGGAAAAATTTCTCTGTCTCAGCTTAACTTATTGATATCTCTAGTAAAATTATAGGATAAAATTAGCTGTCCTAAGAATCGGTATCAACTTTTATGTCTCGAATTTAAATACAGGGAAGAAATAGAATAGACCACCTACTCTAAGCTCGACAGAGAAATGGGCCAATGACCAACTTATTCACGAGCTAAGTTATCAATTTATGTTTAGCTAATTCACTCGAGTGAAAATAAACTAGGAAACACTAATTAAGAACTTCCCGTAAACATAAAGAATTAATCAGTTTAATGACAAAATTTATAAAATTTTACTTCTCTAACATAGAATTAAGTATCAGAAAGTGTTCGATAAGTATCACACTGGTATTGAACTCTTAATCTTCGTTGAGATCGTGCCCATCGATAAATCAACAACTTTCATATCTTCATCATATCCTTTATTTCCATTTTCTCTTTTTTTTTTTTTTTTTACTCAAATAACTTCATTTTTAAAAATACTTAATAAACAATAATAATAATAATAATAATATATATATATATATATATATACACTAATTTAATGTGTTTCTTCATGTCCCACCTTTGACTCCTAGATTTAATCACATATATTATCAAGAAGAAAAAAAAGTCAACATTGAGCTAAGCATATTATATGAATTGAAATGCAATAATGTCAAATTTTTAGAACTTTATTCTTTTGAATATTCTCTTTCTAATTTTCTTACTTGGTTGACTTTTTATTCTTAATTGGTTGACTTTTTATTATATATAAATTTAAACTAAGTTGATATTTGGAAATGTCAAATATTTCATGAATTTTTATATTATTTAAATTTTATGTCAACTCTTTCGTCTTCCAATGAAGATGGATTATTCGAATAAACCCTCTTTTTATTAACATATTTCAAATTAAAACATTTTGACTTTTTTATTTTTCTATTTTTCTGGACTCTTTTTTTATTTTTTTTACTTAAATCATTTTAGATCGTGGCTATTTTTAAAAAAGATAATTATATCTTAAATAAAAAATAGAAGAATCAAACTTATAACTCAAAAAAAAAAAATTATTATTATTATTATTAAAAAAAACACTATTAATATCTAAAACCAACTTAAATGATTTTTTAGGCATCTTGATCGACTAATTGATCTATTAATAATGACCTAACTTACCGTGAATAGTAGGTGTAACAGAGCCCACTGCTTTCCTTAAGGATAATCGAACCTTCTTTCATTATATAGAGGACATCGATAAAATTGGAACGATACAAAGAAGATTAGCATGACTCCTACGCAAGGATGACATGCACAAATCGAGAAATGGTATCAAAGCTAGACACCAGACGGTGTGCCAACGAAGACACTGAACCCTGAAGGAGGGTAGACACTAGGCGGTATGCCAACAAAGACATTTAGCCCCAAAAGGGATGGATACTAGACGGTGTGCCAATAATTACGTTGGACTCCAAAGGGGAGTTGATTGTGAGATCCCATATTGATTGGAGAGGATGAGTGTCAACGAGGATGTTGGGCCCCAAAGAGAAGTGGATTGTGAGATCCCACATTGGACAGAAATGAGAACGAAACATTCTTTATAAGAGTGTAGAAACCTCTTTCCTAGCAAACACGTTTTAAAAACCTTAGAGAGAAGTCCGAAAGAGAAAGCCCAAAAAAGACAATAATTAAGACTCTAAATTTCATTAGTGAATTGATTTAAACACATTTTGAATAATCTCCTTATCCGAACGTAATACTTTGAAAAGGATAAAACATTTGACATTAAAATGCTACAAATAACAGTCTGATAAAGTTACATAACCATATTTAACCTTCCCACCATGCTTAGCTTAGCCCATTCAAAGGCATAAGTCAATCACACGAGTCCTCTGCAACTGCCCAAATAAGAATCTGGAGGACTCCTCAGCATGCTATAGTCTGTCAAATTCAAAACCATTTGACGTTTTAGTGTCATATATTACAAGAATGTAAAGATCTACCCTCAAAAACCCATCACTGCACTGCGAGTTTGTGTTCGACATGACAGACCGCTCCACACTCTGCTGTGTGCAACCGTCGACAGATTCCTACTGTATCGTCTTCCTTCTTACGCACGATTCTCATTGACATGGTTCGGAACTTCGGCTTGGCTGTCGAGAGGCATGTACTGAGCCATAATAGCTCGGATTTCTGAATCCATGTATGACTGCAAAGAAACAGAACATCCCAAGGATTATCAATCCATGTATGACAAGGAAAACAAACGGGAAGACCCGGCAATCCGTGTCTATCAATCATTCGTCAGGAAGCAGTAGAGAAAGAAACGTCTTTTTTAAGCTTACCCTTAATCTGTATTTGTATACTAGGTATGCTCCACCAGCAGCCATAGCCAGGCCTATCAAGATAACCCAAACAGCAGTCCAGGCCGATCGCCCACTCGACGCTTTACCTACAAAATGGAGATGGAACGTTAGTGAAGAACAGCCCCCAAACAGCCATCAACCCCCACCAATCCCTTGATCCAATTTGGTATCTTTTGGGACCTTTAAAGTTCCCTTTCCCAGCAGGAATTATAACTTCATTACACGGATGCGTTTCGGGTGTCTTAGGCTGAAGAACAAGTGGCATGCTCTGTGGCTTAATACAGTGCAAGTTAGTTGTAATAACCCAAGCCCACTGCTAATAGACTTTCCCTTTTGGGGTTCGCCTCGAGGTTTTTAAAACGCGTCTGCTAAGGAGAGATTTCCACACCCTTATAAAGAATGCTTCATTCCCCTCTCCAACCGATGTGGGATCTCACAATCCACCCTCCTTGGGGCCCACTGTCCTCGTTGACACTCGCTCGGTGTCTGGCTCTGATACCATTTGTAATAGTCCAAGCCCACCACTAACAGATATGTCTTCTTTGGGCTTTCCCTTTCAGACTTCCCCTCAAGGTTTCTAAAACATGTTTGCTAGGGAGAGGTTTCCACACCCTTATAATGAATGCTCCGTCCGTTCCCCTCCAACCGAAGTGGGATCTCACACTAGTCTTTTGGGTTTTATCCATCATTACATACATTTAATTTCATCAATAAGATTGTTCTTTAATTATTTTTCTATTGAAAACATAAAAGAAAAACGAAAAATAACAATGCGTGAAGATGTTGTTGCTTACTTATACAAGTATCATGGGATCTCATATACAAAAGATCACCACTGCAGCTGCAGTTGTAGCTGCCCCAGGTATTTTTGCAGCTACATTCAGGGCACTGACAGGCTTTCTTCTCTTTGCATTCGTCGATATCTGCACGTCACAACATCAAGCAAGAACAAATTATAAAAACTACCTTAATGACCAGTACCAGAAGAGTTGTCGTTCGTGTAAATTTGATAATATTTTCATTCGTTAAACTAAAACGAGGTAGAAGCTTCTTGTGGAATGCGTGCTTAGAATGTTATAACAGTGGAAAGAGTGCAAAAAAACATGTCCGGTTTTGGTGTTGGGTTCAATTTAGTTTGTGCTGTGTGTTAAGTATTGTGGAGATAAGCCTTGCTTGTTTTTAAACGAAGAAAAAAAAACACTTTTAGAAGTTTTTCGAATGTGTGGAGGGAGATTTTTGATTTTCCAATATTATAAAATGTCAGAATCGTTAGGGGCTCACGATTGAGCTCCTAACGATTCCGACATTTTCCTGCATTCCATGCGACCTAGCCTAGCCACCTATCTATCTTGAGTTGCTTGTGAGGGTGAAGATTATCTCGGTATACTAATATGGGTCCTTTCAGTCCGATTTGTCCTCGCTCACACACTTCCTAAAAAAGTTCCTAAGAAGTCACTCAACACAGAATTGTTCTAGGTCAAACACGCTTAATTTTGGTGATCCTATAATTGATCAATCAAAAAGAAAAGTGCACATTGTTAATATAGGTAGTAACTATATATTCTTTTAAACATCACATTCAGATGTTGTGTCGATTCATTCATGTATCTTTCCTCCACTTGGGCATAGGATGCCCACCAACTTCTACCTTGGTTTGTCCCAAAACCATGTCGTAATAGGAGAGATTCAATTCAAATACTTTTAGTAATTCCCCAACCCAAGAGCAGTTCTGGCTTTCCCCCTACATCTCTTGCGGCCTAGTCATGTCACTTACTTATCTTGACATGCTTGCAAGAATGAAACTATCTCTACACCGGTCTAATTTTCCTTGATAATGAAGTTTTTCAAAGAAAAAGCTTCATT